ATAGCTGAATTGCTGAATATTTTAACTGCACTGGTAACATTTTTTGGTAATAAAATTTTTCGTTTTGTGCCGTTGTTCAGTAGTACCAGTGTAGTTATTTTTATTAAGGTACTTAGGAGTTGTTACTTACATATTTCGTATTTTTTCGGTCGAAATAATAGAAAATAATTTGAAACCTTAGAAATTTTCCCTAGAATGTGACTGCAAATATTCCCGAATAATTACGTTCCAGTACCTATTTTTGCTAAATTACGAAACACAAAATCTTGGCTGTACTGAAAAATATGAAATTTTCAGTTGTGTCATTATTACAGAGGATCATCGATTTATTAATTTCATATTTCTATTCACACTTATTTGAGAAACATGATTTTCACCTCTTACTTTATGAAACAAAACTGTAAATAGCCTCAGACTTAAGTACTATATATTTAAATAAAATAGCACAATATCGCTTAAAAAATAAATTTTCTTAACGACAAAAAAGTAACGTTAGCACAGATCATATACAATGATTTGAAAGTTAACCAAGGACCAGGTTCCATGTTTACGATGTGTTCTCCTCCTGATAAGATTTGGCTGTGGTAGGCAATAAAATCCGAAGAGTTTGATTTCTGATTGTGTACTCACGTAGTTGCCAACATCCTTACACTATTTTAAGTGTCTTTGAAATTCCATCACGGGAGAAATTTTAGTCAATAAAGCTGGAGGAGTTACGCTGCTAATTACTAAATACTAAAAAACTTACATTGGAAATTAATTAATCAGAAATTAATTGCACTAAACCTACATATTATGGTGACAGAATAAATCATATTTTTAGTCGTTTAGTTTGAAACCAAGAACACGTGAAAATATAACCAATGACAGTCCAAGTGAACAGGATTTTCAAAAATAACTTGCGGACAATTTAGTACATGCACCTCACAGTTAAGTTTGAAAATTACATATATTGAACCTATTCTGCTGAGTGGCAGTGCATTTGTCAACCAAATGTGAACCCGGAGATAATTTAACTTCGGTTGCTANTGTGTTCTCCTCCTGATAAGATTTGGCTGTGGTAGGCAATAAAATCCGAATAGTTTGATTTCTAATTGTGTACTCACGTAGTTGCCAACATCCTTACACTATTTTAAGTGCCTTTGAAATTCCATCACGGGAGAAATTTTAGTCAATAAAGCTGGAGGAGTTACGCTGCTAATTACTAAATACTAAAAAACTTACATTGGAAGCCATTTATTTTCGCTTTAAATTACTCCTTATTCAGAAATTAATTGCACAAAACCTACATATTATGGTGACAGAATAAATCATATTTTTTAGTCGTTTAGTTTGAAACCAAGAACACGTGAAAATATAACCAATGACAGTCCAAGTGAACAGGATTTTCAAAAATAACTTGCGGACAATTTAGTACATGCACCTCACAGTTAAGTTTGAAAATTACATATATTGAACCTATTCTGCTGAGTGGCAGTGCATTTGTCAACCAAATGTGAACCCGGAGATAATTTAACTTCGGTTGCTGCAGGTCTGCTCCACAAGGGTAGAACTTTTATTTATTCGAAGAAAGAATGGATAGTTTCCGGGCTCCTTACAATTATGGCCCACCCATGAATGTTATACTACCGTAAGTGGTATTTAATGGAAATAAATATTTCTGGAACCACTAGAAAATGCCCGTCTCCGCTGCGCGTGATCTATACGGAAAAAAGTAGCCTATATGTTTACCCAAGCATTAAGGTATCTACTTGCGAAATTTCAAGCAAATCTGACCATAAATAAAATTTGTTTTCGAATTGATTGTTCCCTCGTTTACTTATCGAAAGAAGTCCTATATATTAACTAAGCCAATAAGCTATCTTCGTACCACTTCAAGCAAATCGAACCATAAATACGATTTTTTTCTAATAGAGCAGTCCCTGGATCACCTACTGAAAATAAGGATTCTTTATGTTAGTCCAGAAAGTACACTATCTATGTACGTGTCAAATTTCAAGCAAAGCA